ATGAGTGGCTGGTTACCTGTGTAGAACAATGCCGAGGCTAAGTTTATTCACTACCACTGGATACCAACGAAAAAATTAAGTGACTCACTTGAAAATATTAGATTTGTGATACTTTTGCGCGAAACCAAAAATGACAGTGAAGAAGTGTGAAATCATATTAACACTGAAACATAATTGAAACATGAGCTAAATTGTGTCCATTTGGTGAAAGTTTACGTATTCAATATAGAAGGTAATTTTTCTTGAATTCAACCCAACAGACGTGAAACGTCATACTAACACTTGAAACAAATTTTCTTAATCTATCACAAGGAAAGAGATTCAAATTCGAAATGCTTTTGAAATTAACTCTTTCCTGCTTCGTAACAATTTAGTTTAACTTTATGTAGCTTTGAAATTTGTTAGCCTTGCTTTGCTTCTTGTTTCGTTTGATTGCTTTATGTACCGCATCTTGAAAACGTATTAATGTAATGAAGAACCATCTCAGAGAAACACGACCTCCCAAGGATACTTGCCACTGAAGGCGAAACGATGTATCAACAGATGACAAAAATAGCAGGAGGAGAAGAAATAAAATGAGTGCATACATTAAACAGAATGAAAACGACGTAGTGGACTGTGACTAGTGCAACTTTATACCACGAGAACAGCGAAGAGTGGAATGGATACCTTTTGAACCCCTTAAACACACTCCTATTTATAAAGAGAGCGAATCCGGAGCTTATTACCACTGAAAAGTAACAGTTGAACAGATTTCGGAAGTTTCTGCGTGTTTGAGCGTGAGATAGGATGCCCGTGGTGTACTTGCAGACAGAGCGTTTTATTTTACGTCGCCGAAATCATTCCAAGATTTATCCGCGTTCTGAATTGGGTCGTTTGGACGAGCTGCGTTGCCAGCACGACGACTAGAGCACTCGATTAGCGTGGTTTGGCATCGCGCTTTAGCAATCGCGTAGTGGTGGACCGCTTCACTGCAACGCGCTTGCTGGTCCGCTTTTTGAGCTCTAAACCGTTCATGAGTGAAAACCAACGGCCAAAAAAGGGGTTTGTCTGGCGTTTTCTTGACGGATTCTCTGCTTTTTCGCACTGGCGTACTATTGAGCACCACCGCATCTCCTATAAACCCTTCTAGAATTATCGTAGTCGCTGCCTTTAACTCTGAGGTGAAGAGTCGGCATACGACTCAGAGTTAGGGCTTCCTAAATGGCCCCATGAATAGTTCCACCTGAAACCCTTACCGTGTGCAATTCTCACTTGCTTCCAGCGTGACTAGAAACATCAGCGGTATAATTCGTTTGTTTATCGTTATGTTATTATGGAATTACTTTGATATTCAATGCAACTTATTCTAGGGGTTCCTTATGGACTGGCGGCGATTGAGTGCGATCTTCTTGATGTTCGAATAAGTAGCTCTCATATTGCAGCCATGCAGGGAAATCCTCGATATGTACGGTATCATTTTATTTGTTCAAGTTCGTGCTTTACTTCATCGAATCAATTACAGCTGTTCGAGTTTATTCGGAACGGATTCGACATGAACGCTCTTACATCGAAGACGTCGCAAAGTAGGATGGATTCTGATAAGACTGTCATCGAACTGTTGTCGAGCTTGGTCAAGGTCTGTTCTTCATTGTCATCTTCAAACTTTCACCTCGATTTATGTTATAATTACAGCGTGGCCAAAAGTCAGTCGGTAGCAAGTTAAAGTGTATATGGGAAACCCCTACCATAGGGCTTAGAATAGCAAAGAAGCAAGTGGGGAGCAACAGTATGCGGGAAGGGAGCAGGGGCAAAAAAAGAGACGCTTGTTCTCACATTCAAAACTGAATTAATTTCACATTGCTATACTGAGATCAGATGCTTACAGAGGAGTCTTGAAGAGCGTATTCGTATGTGTTACGCAACTTCGTGACAGCCGTCTACACTTGCGGCATCAGAAGAATTGCCGTGGGGTATGGCATGGTTTGAGTTGAAAGAGGTCCTCGACGGATCCTGGACCATTACCTTGTTGTACGATATGCTGGTTGGCATTGGTCTTGCAGAGTCCATGCTACCATTGAAGAAATTGGATAGCTGCTTAGAGTTGGAGCAATTGCTGTAGGTCACCTTGAGCCCCAACGGCGATGGTGAATGGCTCCACATTCTGAATACGGTGAGGGAAGTGAACAATGGCTTCTTCTGCGTATGGAGGAACATGTCAAGAATTTCTTCTCCGTAGGGCTTCTGGCAAGTGTGGCACCTTGTGTGGGGAAAAGTTGGCTAATGTGCGCCATGAGCAAAAAGTCCGTCCTCCTTCTGTGTACGTTGAAAAACACCAGAACATGGGGTACCCCTTTTTCATCTACACGGTCTTGTGTTGTGCCACAGCCGCGTGCTGCGTAAAAAGGTGAGTCGAGTCGTGCCTTGCATTTTAGTGGACTCGTTCAGCTCGGTCGACTCAAACAATATACGGCTGTACTAGGGCATGGGTTCTTCAGAATGCTAAGACCGTGCGTAAAAAAAATTAAGGCCGGGGGTTTTTTGGTGTCGTTGAAAAAATTGGAGTCAAACTTGGTTGAGCAGTTCCTCAGAAAAGTCTTTCATGCACTTCAATGAGTCGGGGTCGACGAAATTTGCGGAAGACCCATTGAGCAACCACTAAAATGCTAATACTGCTGAATACTTGAATCGCCTGTCTAAGGCGGGCTCAAACGACGTTCGTAAATAGCTTTCTGCTGCGAGAGTTATCAAATGTTTATTTGCCTCGCTCGCCTCCAAAACGGCGAGATCCTCATTCTCCCTAGCTGTTATAATTCAGTTCTACAAACTTTTGCGGTCTGAAAACAGCTGGTAGTACACTGGCAGTAAGCAAAATAACTGTGGAGGCCGGCATCAAGCGATTCGATGACCTAGGGAATGTAAGGAAAAATGCGCGGTCTAAGATAGGGCAAGATTTAAGCAATCTGTGATTTCCTAATGAGTTGCCGAGACATGGTGCGGCGGCAACTCGAGGAGATGGGTGGAGACATTGCGAAATTCCTTCTGAATGCACCCGTCCAAGGCCGTTGAGGCAGCGGGAGAGTAGGCGGTCGGACTCCGCGCCCATTCGTTAGCGAAAATCGCGCAATTTGAAAGCGGTTTGAACGATTTAGCGATGCGTCTGCCAGCGCGATCAAGTGGAATCTCATGCGCATAACTGGAGTTTAGAGCGCATCGCTTGAATTCTTCGACGTGCGCGACTAACTAGCGATTGGTTGCAAAGTCTGACATCTGCCCGTCGGCTCCATTCTGCCCCATTTTCACCCATGACAATGCTTGACTCGATTCAATAGTTGCACTGGCTAATGTTGTTTTTTGGGGAATATTTTTAGAAGCGATCTGACAGATAACTCAACTGTAATATTTGGAGTAATCGTAGAGACAGAAAACATGTGGTGTACAACGAATTAGTCTTCATACATACAGTAGCGGTCAAAAGTGTTCGCCGAAACGGTTTTTCGTGCTTCTCTTTTTTTTGCCAGAAAAAAATCAATGGTGACCTCGAAAATTTTTCTTTTGAATATCCTGATTCTTTAAGACTTGAGGATATAAAAACACTAGAAAACATAGTATATCAATCTTTGGAGGGCGTTGCTCAAGCGAGAAAAATCTTAGTTATATGTTATCACTTGTTATTCAGACGGAAAGCGACTATGTCAATGGAATGGTGAAGGAGATGACATCGCCAGCAAATCGAGGAAGTGCAAAAGCAGCTGTAAACCTTAGTCCTGAGGTCTTTTTTCTATGTTCGCATCTCTTTTCTTTGTGTCACATTCCCATCTATGACATTCATTGCACTGCTTTTCTTACCACCCATGGTGTTTAACTGCGAAGGGTCAGGAAATCTCTCCAGAAGAGTCGTTCTCAAGCTCTCAACTTTGGAACATGTGCTTTTTCAATTGGATGTATTTCAGAAAAGTCACAGTCGTCGCCTCAAATATAGAAGTTTCAGAATCGGAAGGCTCTTTCGAACATTTCTGGTATCTTGGCCGACTGGAATCGCTGTATGCTTAGCTTTGTTCAAGATAATGTGGAGAAGAAGTTGATCTGTGATCAGCATTGTGAGGTGGTGTTTGATCAAGCGATCTCGCCGGTTCATATGGTTCGAGTCTCTGCTGTTTCGACAGAAGTGAGGACTGCTTGGGTTGTTGTATTGTGGAAGATTTCAATATGATTTTGATCCTTTTTCAGTGCGATGTGAGAACTGTGCTATTTGGGAGCGTTCCAACACCTCTGATTTTTCGAATATTGGGGACAGTATTCAAGGAAAAGTCGGCAATTGTAAGTTGGACGTGCTTCCACTTTCCATAGATGTTAATTAGTTTTTCCAATTTGTGGGTGAAAAAATGCAGTATTGAATTCTAATCGGAATGCTGTGCCTCAGGTTCTTTGCGTCTATTCGGTGTCAGTCGCATATGTGCCTCCTAGTGGCGAGTCTTCAGATGCCTTCCCTCTTCCTCTTCGCTTGAAAAGAACGGTTTCACCCGGCTGTA